ATGAGCCTCGCCAAATAAAACACACAGATTGCGGGGCCCTCACAAATGTATGTATTAATTACTTAGAACTCGGGATCGGCCGCATAGCGAACTTCACGGCCTTTTCCCAAAATAACCACGCGTTAGTCTCTTTAGGCGCGTACTTTAAATAACATTACCTTCTTAATCCCGGGTGCACATTTATGTGACCCAAATCCAAATCTCAACGAAGTTGAAATGTGTCGTTAATCACGGGTACATTGATTGTGATGTGGTTCGAGATGCATTTCCACGACGTTGCAAATTCTTTTTAAAAAATAATGAATGAGACGAGCCTCGACAAACAAAAATACACAAGCTGCGGGGCCCTCTATACGTGTTGGTAAAATTACTTAGACTTCGGAATGAGCCGTTTAGCAAAATTTCACGGTCTTACCCAAAATAATGATACGGNTGGCGACTCTGAAATAAATAAACAAATCCTGTTTCGATTGTCCTTTAATTGGAAAAACTCCTTCTGCGCCCCTGCGGGCGCGGGAAAAAAGGAGGACATGAACATGCGTTGCTTAGCCTTATATTGCGTTAGGTGCCGCGTAACAGGAGGTTTGAAAATAAGCTAGTATGGCCAAAGAGCACTGTAAATTTCCAGAAAAGCAAGTGGCATTTTCATGTTGCTGCGCAGCCTCGTTCCCATCGACATATTCGCTGCTTATATAAACTACCTCACTCAAAACGTAAACCACAGACACTTTTGTCGTTCTCACACATTTCTCTCACACTAAAAACACACATTCTCTCTCTGCTGCAAATCTTTTTATCTGGACAGAAATAAAGGAGAAAGAAAAAAACAACAAAAAAGGTAAATAAATAAATAAATTAATTGCTTGATTTGGTGATTCAGGCGATACAATGTTGTTACGGGGGACGTTTCCGGCTTGCAATGTCGCCGTCAGCGACTGTACTCAACCCCAAAAAAACAATCAATTCTCTCATAGTTTCTTCAATTTCACTCCACGGCGGCAAAAATCCTTATTTTCTGCTTCGGTTGTTCGGACCAATGAGCAGAAGAAGGAAGTTGCATTTGAGCCTAGCCTTGCTGACCGGCTTAGGCTTGGGAGCTTGACAGACGATGGATTGTCTTATAAGGAGAAGTTCATAGTTAGATGTTATGAGGTCGGAATTAACAAGACTGCCACTGTGGAAACCATCGCCAATCTATTACAGGTCTTCTTATGTTTCAAAAGAGCTTGACTTTTTGTAATGCTATTTTAGTTGCTCTGTCAATGCCACGTCTCTTACATGCAATTGGAAGTTTCAATTTAATTTTGTTACGATGAAATTGACCTTGGTGATTTATACTACCTCCATTTCAAGTTATATGGCAAAGTTTGAATTGTCACATAGTTTAAGAAAGAAATGATAGATCTTAAACATTCTAGTATAACAATTGTGTGAATTTAAAGCATTTCATCAAGGGTAAAATGGAAAGTTTAAGTTAAATTATTTCCAAATTTAGAAAATTGGCATTCTCTTTGGAATTAACTAAAAGGAAAATGTTGCCACCTAAACTGAAATAGAGGAAGTATATTTAGTTAAGTGGAGAGTAGTCACTAGATGGTTTTTTGCTACCAGTACTTAGGCTGCATTGCACTGGGCTTGATGTAGGTCATATGTTCTTGTTTAGGAAAGATGAACAAAAATTTCACGTCGTCGTAGTACGATCAAGTAAATGTGGAAATATAACTTGGAATGAAACTTCCTAGGACATAGAGAAGAATTTGTATAAGTGTAGAAAGTACATTGCTAAAAGTATGATTAAAATGTCCTGATTTTGGGAAGTATAACGTTCTTCCCGTTGTACAAGTATCCAACCATAAGTACTAGAAATGTTTATTTATTACTCTAAAATATCACCTTAATTGGAAGGCAGGGGATCCAACTGAAGATTGTATTCAAGGAAAGACCTACAGTAAATAGGAGAGGACTTCTCTCCCCCTTCTTTTATATATGTAGAGGTAGAGCTCAGTTCTCTTTGAACTGCTTTTAGATAATAATAATAGAAGGAGAAAGCATACTTCACTCGCATACAAAGTTTAGCTGATCTTAATATGATTTATGTGGGTATGAAATACGTTGGCGACAGTATAAATAGCACCAATATAGTCATAACAACAGAGAAAGGACAAGATAAATGAACATGAAGATGGTGAAGCCAAGATTGAAGCCAACAAGTATCAGCAAGGCAAAGGCAATAGAGTGATATTCAGACACCCTAGTAGGCTATTTCTCCACATTCCAAGAGACAAGATCAAATCTAAGAACAAAGCATAGCCCGTAGCAGAGTAATGGGCATCAAGACAACCTGGATAATCAGTATTTGCATAGGCAGGCAACTACGGACAGTGTAAGAGGGACGAAAGGATACTCCAAGAGATAAGGTACCACGTAAATAACAAAGAACACGCTTGACAGCACAAAAGTAAGAGTCATAGTTTTTGTGCATAAATTGACTCACATGACTAACGACATAGACTATATCTGGACGAGTTAATTAGAGGTATGCAAGCAACCTTACCATGTTATAATAGTTAGAAGGATCAGACGGAGGAAACCCGTATGGATATGTCGGATAGCCTTGGCTGCAACTAGACTAGATTCTAGTAGCCGCCGCTCTGCCTGGTCTTGCTAGATAGACTATTTGATCTTTGTTTGCTTGCTATTTGGTAGAAACAGCAACCTGTCCCCACTTCAGTGATCACTTAACAGTTTAGCTGTTCTTTTTTTCTGTTTCATAAACCTCTTAGTTGTCAAAGAATACAAACTTTTCAGTCTTTCCCATCATTGATTTGCATTTCTTTACTGCCATTTTCTTTCTGAAGTGGTTATTCTGCTATTTTGATTTGCACTAAGTATAGAATGTATTGCAAATGGTTGATTCCTATAAGTTTTATAAGATTATAGATTTTTTTGATAAGTTATGGGATTATAGGCCTTCTTATGCCTGATGCTCCTAAAATTATTTCTTAGCTGCTCTTTCTTATTTACATGGATACTCTTTGAGCTAATATATACAGTACTCAAAATCTATCATTTAGGAGGTTGGATGCAACCATGCTCAAAGTGTCGGATTTTCTACTGATGGATTTGCGACAACCCTTACCATGAGAAAATTGCATCTCATATGGGTTACTGCTCGCATGCACATTGAAGTATATAAATACCCTGCTTGGTAATCATTTTCTCCCTCTGCAACCACTGATTGCAGTTGTTTATGGTACAAGGCTGTAGCAACCATGAGTTATGTTGGTATGATGTTGAACAGGAGTGATGTTGTTGAAATAGAGACTTGGTGCCAAAGCGAAGGTAGAATTGGGACTAGACGAGATTGGATTCTCAAAGATTATGCTACTTGTGAAGTCATTGGAAGAGCAACCAGGTAAAATCTAGTTAATTCCTCAGCGCTCAAATAGTCCTAAACAAAAAGGAGATTAATAGCAATAAAAGATAGAGTCTCTCATCTAATTCACATCTCCTAGTGGTCAGTATGCTTTAAGGCATGCACTTTTCTGGACTCGAGCTTCATCTGTCGTCAAATGAAACTGAATCTTGCTGATACCTATTGTTTTCTATGAATATTTTAGTACATTAAGTATTTCATTGACTTCAGGCACTGTTTTATTAGCATTCTCATGCAACATTGTTTTATATAATTTCTCCGATCGTAGGGAGTTACTTCAAAAGGCTGAAAAGGACCTGGTGGACAGTGTTAAGCTTTAATATATGATCCACTGTCTTTATTTGTCAATAACTATTTGGCTGTTTTAAAAGATTTGATTTCCAGGATCAAGGTCTAATCTGTAGGATTGTTTGCAATGTCTTCCTTTTCCTTCCTGATTGCTTTTAGTTGTACTTTTTAAAATAAGAAATTTCACTATATCTGCTTGCAGCAAGTGGGTCATGATGAACCAGGACACAAGGCGTCTTCAGAAAGTCACAGATGATGTTCATGAGGAGTACCTAGTCTTTTGCCCGAAAGAACTGAGGTAAAGCTGTGATCCTCCTCATTTTCTTCTCTTTCTTCTTCCTACCCATTTCACTTTTTGGATTCCATTATTCCCTCAAGGACCTAGTGTTTATCCCAAAATGGAATCTGTGAAACTCAACACTGAATGAAATTAATGTGAAATCTGGTGAAAGTTGAAGTATTGAATAAGTTTCATGCTCTGGTGTATTTGTTATGTTGACTGTAAGAGAAAGTACGTTAGCTACTTATTTTATCCTGTCTCTATTTCAAGCCTAATGTCCATCTTTGCTTCTGGTAAAGCAAGGATTTCTGGGAGGGCACATAGTGGATTGTCCTCTGCTTCCATTAGGGTTCCTTTCTTTGCTCTCCCTCTCCCTTACACCACTAAAGTTGATGCTACCTTCTGGTCTCGATGTGTCTTCTCTCTTCTCGACCAGCATTAATGGATCGCAATCGATGGGCCTACTTTCGTATTATCATCCACACTGCCCTTTAAGACTTACTCTACTATTACGTCCTTAAGTTCTGGGCCTGCTTTTTGTTGGGGCTCCATTGATGAGCTTAAAAGATCCCTCTTGTTAAGACCATTTTTCTTCTAAGGACTTGCATGTACAATTTTGCGGGTATTATATATGGCTCTCCAATGTCCACGTGGGTGGTTCTTTATACTTCGTAGATTCACATTCGAATATATGACCATTTGGAAAGGTGTCCTGGTGCCACATTGGTAATCTCTGTTCCGTCAGATATTGCAGTTGCCTGATCTACGGTTTGGGCATTGCATGATTCCAGTTTGTCTTGGTAACTCCATCAATAATCTTCAAATGAGGTTTCACAAGTTGGATTTCACATTCAGCTTGTTTCCTATTTGAATCAAAAATGTGGTAACATCATCCTGAATGGCGATGAGCACATTGACCTGTTCTGGGACCTCCAATTCCAGACACAAATCCCTGTCCATCTGAGATGAGACCTTGATCTTGTTTGACACAATTTCATTTAGTTTGATATTGCTTCACATCTTTGGTGCTTAATCAAGACCTAAAATCCTCCCTACCAGCCATGGAATCTTCTGAAAATGCTTTCCAACCATAGGCATATCAGAAAATAGTCCAACCATATCCACCTTGTCTCCTTCTCTGTTCCTATCTTCTTGTGTAACAACCATGACAACCAGCTTCCCAGATGGATTTGCCAACTCCTCCAATACCGTTCAGGCGTTCGCCCAGCGGCGTATGCAGGACTTTGTGTAAGCGATATTGCTATTTGAAGAAGTGAAACCAGAGACGGATCCAGAATTTGAAGGTTATGGATTCAGGATTTCACCGAATGCACTGATCATTAGAGTTACTGGGTTCAGAAATTTAATATCTGTACTTATTTATTAGATTTCTTAACACATATATAAGGTGTGAGTCAAAACTATCGGGTTCGGCTGAACCAGTAACTTTAATGGTGCATCCACCCCTGAGTGAACAAATCACTATAACATGATCATCTTAATAAAATACCTTCAGATACCTTAGTACAATTGTCCTCGACTAGTTTTTATTTTTTCCAAATGTTGAGTTGAGTCGTATCAATTGAAAAATTAAAAAATAAAAACATATGAGCAAAACAAAACAAAATTTCGTGGGGTATTTTTAAATTTAAAATAGCTTTTGATTCTTGAAACTTATACTTATCTCTAATGATATAAAGTTTTGAGTTGGAGTTGAACAACATACGAGCAAATGATACAAAGTTTTCTTGGTGTATTTTTAAGAAATTTTAAAATAATTTTGATCCTTGAAACTTTATTTATCTCTATTGATGAAGTTTTAGCAAAGCCATTACTTTTATTATTGGGATTTACACTTGTTGATAATATATTTTGGAGTGTGGTGTAAAACCGTAAATTTGAGGCCTTGAGGCTCTTGTTTATAGGGAAAAAAGCTGGGAAATGTATTTATGAGGATTTGAAACCACGACTTTGCTCTACCTAAGGAGCTAGCATGACCAGATGGACTAGCTGGCTCTTCTGTTAAGCGGTTTCATGTTCTATTATATTATCTCATTTATTTATCTTTTGATTATATACCTATAATGAAATTTTTTTGCGACGCTTGTATCAACATAAATCCGCCCCTGCCTTCACCAATCTTTTAATTTTTGCTGCCTCTGTTGTAGAAGGAAATGGAGGCATTTGTTGTCTGCTATTTTGTAATCGTCTGTCCCAAGCTACTTTCCAAGTCTTCATAGCCCAGTTCCTAAACTCCTGAGTCCTGACAGGACAGCCACTTGTCATTTAGTCCTTCCATTTCTGCCTCTAGGCAGCCAGTGCATAAGCTCCCGGTTTGCACGGAGTCTAGATCACATAAGGTCTATTGTATGCAAGTCTTACCTTACGTCTCTTCAAGAGGTCTTGAACCTGTGACCTCCAGGTCACATGTTGGCAACTCTTATCCTATTTATTCAAGCAAACCAAATTTAATATTACCAAAACCTATCTTAATCTACTCTACTAGGATGAATTGTTTTCCAAAAATATTTTCAAAACTAATCTTATAAAAAAAAAATTAATAATAATAAACCCAACTTAAATCTAAGCCCTAAATCTTTAGTTCTGCAAAAAAAAAAAACTGAACATTTTCTTGACCTTTTTTATCACAATTATCCTGTCTCTGTATAACCATCCTTTTCTGTTTATGCTTTTCGCAATGCTAGGCTAGCTTTTCCGGAGGAGAACAATAACAGCCTAAAGAAGATATCAAAACTGGAAGATCCTGCTCATTATTCTAGGCTAGGATTGGTGGTAAGTATTGTTACAAATGCATGACTCAGACGACCATCCATTTCCAAGCACTAAGAAACCAAAGGATATTAATTGTTTTTTGCAGCCACGAAGAGCTGATTTGGACATGAATCAACATGTAAACAATGTGACTTACATCGGCTGGGTTCTTGAGGTTTGTAGTAATGCTGCTTCTTTTTCTAGTTAATCATGTAGATGTTTTCAACCATATGTCATGAAATGATGTTCTCCTCCTATGGGTATTAAAACTGTTCTGTCACTGAAACTTTTTGTGCATTACAATATATAGTTAGACTAGGCGAAAGTTTTTTAGTTGATAGCCCACTTTTTCCGTGTTCTTCATTATGGGAAATAGTTAGACATGTAAAGTGATTTTTAGTTGATAGCCCTTTAGAAGCCCTACTGTTAATTTATAGCATAGTAAGTCATTACCCTTTTGGTTACCGAGAAATCCGTCTGGGGCCAACTCTTATGACCAACTGCAGCCTTCGGAACTCAGAGATAATGGGCCTGCCCCTCTACCTATTTTCACTTAAATCAGGCTTAGTTCGCATAGCGCAAGAGTGGAACTTGTGACCTAAGTCACAAGTCCCTCAAACTTTGCCACTTGAATTAAGTCCTGGGGGTGGGAAGTCGTTACCTTTTTTTGGCAAGGATACAGAAAGTTTGTCGGTTTCTGCTGGACTTCAGCCTCAATCCTGGTTGTTGTGAATGTACAGTATTTGATGCACAAGTTCTCTATTTGCTAACACAAGTTCTTACATCAACACGGCTACTTTCTCTATTTGCTAACACAAGTTCTTACATCAACACGGCTACTTTCTCTATTTTGCTAATAAATTAACTTGTCTCCATCGCAGAGTATGCCTCAAGATATCATTGACACACATGAACTGCAAACGATTACATTAGATTATAGGCGTGAATGCCAGCATGATGACGTAGTCAATTCCCTCACGAGCCTTGAATCGTTTGAGGACTCTGCTTTAGGGACTAACGGATCAGCTACTGCTGCAAGAGAGATAAACAAGAGCTTCTTGCATTTGGTGAGATTATCAGGTGATGGACTTGAAATAAATAGGGCCCGAACTGAATGGAAAAAGAAATTTGTTAAGAGCTGAATTTCACAGGGCTTGCATTTGTTGTATTATATTAGTAGTATATTCTTCTACTTTGTCATTTTTTGTGTTTTCATATCTCCTCTTGTTCATTTTCAGTGTTCCCTCTCATCTTTTGTATTTTTAATTTCTTTTTTTCTATTTCTTTCCCCGGGGACCGGGTATATCTTGGTTGTATATCTCTTGATTGGACTGTAATGCCATCCTCTTTAGTTATGACACATGCATGTAGACTAGCCAGAAAGAATTGTACTAATTTGGAAATAGTCATTAATTCTTATCAATTCGAAAGACACTTTCCATTTTAGAATGTTTCAAGTTATTTGGCATAATTTTACTAATAAGATTATTTCTATACCACTTTCATAGTTTTCAAGAATTCAAATTTGTTAATTATTCGAGTTTTAAACTTTGATTTGGAATTTTATCTATAAAACTAAATTTAGGATTATGACTTCATATATCAATAATAAGGTATATTGGTTTGATTCAAATCCTAAATTCGGTTTCAATTTAAAACAATGGGACGTAAGGAGTATAATTTTTACGAGTATATAGAATTTAAATCTTTTTGATCGAGTCTCTCCTTTAAACTACTCCCTCCGTTTCAAAAAGATTGTCTTAGTTTGACTTGGCACAAACCAGGGGAGACCCTTCCATAAAGCAACTGTTTTAGGCTCCATATCTATAAGGGCCCCATTTTTTGTTACACCTAATAGGCTATATATAAGTTCTAAAAAAAGATTCTGTGAAGTAAAAAAGTTTGATTTCTTTCTTTAACAAGTACGGAGAAGAAGGATTTGCAACTGCTATGATTTCTGCCACGAAAACTGTGCTTGAAATGAATATCGAACCCGGATTTCATAAGAAACGTATGGTATATAGGAAATAATAATTTTATGAGAATATTGATAATAAAATCTCAAGATCTTTCGAAGAGTCCTTTGGAGTTGATAACTTTATACATAGTAGATAAGGCTATTTTTTCACTTCAAAATAGATTTGAACAATTCAAAGCATATGAAAATATTTTTGGTTTTCTATGTAGCGGTAAAATTAAGATCACTAGATGATGGAAATTTGAAAAAATATTGCCTTAATCTTGAATGTTCCTTAAAGCATAATAATCAATTCGATCTTGATGATTTTTAGATTTATTTTTAGAATTAAAAATATTAAATAAAATAGTACAATTAGAAGATAACAGTTTAATTGATACACTCGGTCAAATAATAAAATTTGATTCTTTTTCCAATGCCTATATTACTTATGGAATAATGGTAATAACTTTTGTTACCGTCGCTTCAGCGGAAAGAAACTTTAAAATTAAAATTGATGAAATCTTACATAAGATCAACAATGTCTCAAGAAAGGTTAAATGGATTAGCTATATTGTCACGACCCAAATCGAAGGGCCGCGAAGGGCACCCGGTGCCTTACTCAACCGAGTACCAACATAACATATCTTTCTTATTATACTATCTTAAGTAAATGAGCCAGAAACCCGTCATGAGATAACAAGAATAAATCATAAGAGAATACTCAACATATGACGATCCAACATGATATACAAACTTATACATATGACATACAGGCCTATAAGGCCGACATGACCATTTGTAAATTCAACACATAAGCCAATAAGGCCATACACGTATCTGTAAACCTGATATCTGTCTACAAGCCTCTAAGAGTACATAAAATCATAAAGGTCGATACAGGGCCCGCCATACCAATCAATACATATCCAAAGCATACTGACCAAATAGGCAACTCCGGAGCAAGTGGAGTGCACCAACACCTCCGCTGAGCTGATAGCCTACTAGGAAGACTGTCAACCTATCAATCGGGACCTGCGGGCATGAAACGCAGCGTCCCCAGGCAAAAGGGACGTCAGTACAAATAAAGTACTGAGTATGTAAGGTAGGAAAGCATAAACAAGAACATTAATGTAAAGAGAGATAAAGGAGATACAACCTGTAACATCTGCGTGCCTCTGGGAGCTACTGACATGAAGTGCATAATACATATATATACATAAAATTTTAAAAACATACGTCTCTGTAGACATCATCATCATCATCATATCGTACCCGGCCTCAAAGAGGACTCGGTAAAAACATACCCGGCCATCATAAGGCTCGTTAGAATCGTACCCGGCCACGTGGAGCTCGGTAAATCTAACTGATCAGTGGTTGAACAATAGGTGTCGTACCCGGCCTACTATAGTGCGTCTCAGTAGATCAAAATAGATATTATATATAATGCATGCTAGACTCATGGAATCACGTTCTAAACCTTTCAGAGTGACGTAAGGTCGTTTCACCTTTGATTAGCATTATGGACATCATACCATCAATATGAACTTCACTAGGACTCAAGGATCATACATACTTTCTTAGAATAACTTTGTACGGAAATAACAAAATGTACAACCTTATTTGCTAGGAGTAGATTCAAAATCAGTATTGAATAAAGGCTAAATCTGCAACTTAAACTTGTAGCTCGTTTATATAAATTCGTGCAGCATCTCCCCTGTAACAAGAGCCTCCTCCAATATAATATACCCACAAAAATTACCAGAGAAATCCAATAATACATAATCATCAATAACAAGATACCATAAAACAACAAGTCATAACTATTTTACCACGAGCGACAAGCTCCAATTGGAATTCGTATACCCCATATCATCCCTTATAGACTTTTTACTTTAACTTAATAGTATCATTTGAAGTCATTCATCAGTAATTCCAACCTTATACCATATATCCATAACAAAGAAAATGATCCACAACTCCAATTATTCTTAATTGGCAACTTTATTCACTAGTTCATGTCTAGTTCATCCATTTAACTCAACTGATGTCAATATAACCTTAAGAACTTGTTGGAACACAATATAATTACCTCCTACAGTAGATGCAAGTCGAAATTCATGTTATATTTAGCTTACAACAGCCCAACATACCCCAATCAATTCATACCAAAAACAACGACTATAGTAGTGTCCAACACCTCGAAAGTATTATAAAGAATGACAAATCCATTATTTCACCAATATGTGGTGTTTCTCCACACCAATTATCCTCTAAAAACTCCATTAAATAGCAGAAAAATATACAGCTCAAAAGCTACACGAAACAACCCACGAAACAGCCCACAAAACAGTCCATTACAAATCAAATAACTCGAACTCACGGCTTCCGATCACCGTCCCGTGAGTTCTAAATATTATGAAATGAATTAATCAACCTTACTTGATATTTAAGATCTTGAAACCAGAAATTAGGCATTTTTATTAACTTCAAACTACCTTCCAAAACTCAAACTACAAAGAAAAAGAGAGGTTATATAGCAATACTTACGTCGTGAGGATCGTTCTTGTGTTATTGCTTCGTGATTTCGTGCCTCGGATGATAGTATCATTGAAAATACTTATGGAGTACTTGAGGATGAGTTTAGGGGTGTTATATGGTCGAGCTATCTGGAAAACCAAAGTAAGAGACGAGACAGAGAGATAAACATCCCCTTTTCTAAAAGTCAAAAAGGTGCCACGTGCCACTCTCTCATTGGCCCTTTTTCAAACGCTTATATCTTTTTATCCGGATGTCGTATAAACAAACGGTTATGAGCGTTGGAAACTACATTCCAAGACCTTCAATTTGATATATAATATGTCCCAAAAAGATCTCATATAGCATACGAAATATATTACTAAAAAAACTTCATTACAAGGCAAATCCTTAGTCGGTTTTTCCGCAACTTAAATCCGATTTTTCTCAAACTTTATACTTCATATTCAAACATCATATATAGTCATATCATGTCTTTAAACTCATTTAAATCATGATTAACAAGTCTCATATTCATCTTAACTTGCGTAACACTTTGGCAAACCTTTCTTGTCCTTGTAGAAGGATTTCATCCTTTTTGAGTTTATATTAGATAATCCTATAATGATAGTAATATCTGAAGTACGGGGTGTAACAATATGTACCCTTATAAACATTTATCCTTGAATATTAACTCTCAAAGTCTTGAAAAAAAAATATGGGATGTAACACCATTAAATTACTTTATATACTTTCCAAGAGGATCTCATTTTTGAGCTTACATCAATGGACTTACGACGTACTTTCACATACAAAAATATGGGTTGTAACATTATTCCCCCCTTTGGAACATTCGTCCTCGAATGTTGACTGATGCGCTTCTCATTCTCATACCATATGGCTCTTATGAATACTTTAACATTGTCCTTTGTCATCTAGGCAATTGTTCTATGAATAAATTTAAAAACCAAGGCATTCCCCCCTTTAGTCCTATTCTCACCTCGCGAATTATGGCCGGAGTCCTTCCGATCTCGTAACTTCGACTACCTTCTATGATGTATCCTATATGACTATGCCCTTTTATGCACGACTCTTCTCTCCTTTTTCCTCCAGTTTTTTGCCAATCTGTTGGCTTCACTTTGTGAATACAATATAGAACTATGACAAGATGTCCCTCTGGGCATATATAGGTATACTTAAGCTCTTCGCTTGGTACTTTGCTGAATGTACGACTATTGCTATATTTCGTTTTATAGCCTTGGTATTATTACCGAGGTGTGCTACACAACTCTAGGTTACTTTCTAATTGCTTGTCCCATAACCTGCTGGCGCAACCCTGCCACATTAGGAACATATAATCGATCTCAATATCTAAGGACTCTATCTTCTGTAATCTCAAGTAGTATTTTCTCCTTTTGAAGGGTTGTATCTCTATAATGATCTAGCACATGATCTTCATACTGGCATTCCTTCACTTCAGCTATTAAAGAGGAGATTTCCATGTCCTAAGTAGTAACTCTGGTACCACATGCATCTAGTAATCGAATTCCAAGATTAGCTAGCAGATGAATCTCGCAAGCTATATCACTCTTCTATGCCTGTAAATATGATAGGCTAAACATAGATCTACGATTGAGGGCATTGACTGATACATTCGCCTTCCCTGGATGATATAAAGTATAAAACTCATAGTCCTTCACAAACTCCAACCACCGCCTCAGATGTAATACATTGTCACTAAGGCTCGCGTCTCATCGGGGAACATTTGAAGTGATTTTCTTGATGCACCTAGGGACGATACTATACTTCAATAACTGCATTTTCATAACATCCCAACGTATTCATCTTATGTGGGCATTCTAATACCGTGCCATCCATGAA